AACGGCAGAGGGGGGGACAGAGCGTCGAGCCCCGCCCCCCCGCGGAGCCAATCGGCGCGAGGCGGGCTCTCTCGCGCCCCCTGCAGCCGGGAGGAGAGAAGGCGGCCCAGGAAAACAAGGGGTGCGACTCCCGCCGTGCAGTTCCCAGGGGACACACCCTAAGGTGCCTGCACGCGAACTTTTTGTCTGTCTGCTTTCATTGTTTCTCTCACAATCCGTGCCACCTGTAGGGCGGCATATGCTTACTGCGGTTAACGTCCTGCGAGAAACAAGTCGTCAGCGCTGTCCGCGGCTGGTTCCTTGGGACCCAGTGGGCCGGTGGAGCTGCCCTTTTAATTGTGGTCGGTAGCGCCAGAGTGGCATCGCCGCTTTAAGGCCGGTGGCTGCCGCGGTTCCGGGGGCGGGGCCGTCTCCAGCTGGACTCGGGCTGGCGCGGGGCTGATTCATTCGGGGGCTGGAACTGGAACCGCGAGCGCCGACGTCGGCCCTGCGCAGGGCGCAGCTTCGTTCCTGATTGGCTGGCCCGTGGGACCGCCCTCCCACTCGCTCACCACCCCTGGGTTCCCTCCCTGGTCCGCAGTAGGAACGCTGCCCTCTCCCTTCTTGACCCCTAGCCCTTATTCCCCTCCTTCCCGCCTCTGTCGCTTCTGGCGCCCCTGCTCCCGGCCGAGCTCCCGGCACCGTGATGGGGTCTCGGGCCTCCACGCTACTGCGGGACGAAGAGCTCGAGGAGATCAAGAAGGAGACTGGCTGTGAGTTCGGGTTGGGGGTGGGAACGCGGCTGGGCGCTGCCGACTGGCCTTAAAACCAGCGGCGGCTGTGGTTGAGGTCTGGAATTGGGGGTTCCGGTGCATTTGGGGTCCCGAGAAGCCTCCAGCGCTGGAGGTTCGTGGGACCGAGGGTCGGAGGACCTGTTCTAGCTGCGGCTTCCCGGAGCGGGGTTCAGCTCTTAAAGGCTGTCCTTCCTCCCAGAGGTGGGAGTCTTGAACGCTCTAGAGCGCAGACACTCGTCTTTTTCCCCACTTGCCCATGGAAGCGCCCGAACTCCTTTGCTTAGTCTTTTCTCGCACCAGCCTTCAACATTAATTGGGATTCTCAACATAGATAAAGCCCGAGAAGCAAATTCAGGAACTGTTAGGTGGATCTTGCAAAAACAATGTTTCTGTGACGTTTGTGGGCAAAGACCTAAAACCACTGACAGCTGTGGGAAATCACAAATCAGTCCTTGCCACAGACTGTAAAAGTAAACCCAGAAAGCAAAACCATGTAGTGAGGCTGTGGAAGACTTGACCTGCTGAGTGGAGCCCTCTCATTGAGAGCGTGAGACATTTCAGCCCCAAGTTGAGAACAAAAGCACAGGTGCTGTGACCGCCAGCGTTTTCCCTTACACTGAAAATACTTGCTGTCCTAATTTCATGTGTATTGATTTCTATTGTGCTGTCGCTACTGAAACTGGATGCGCTCCAAAACCTCAGTGTGAGTTTGTACTAGGAACTGATTTATATTATAGTTGAGTCTCTTCTTCCTCCTTAGCCTGAACAAAAGAGCAACAGTGCTTGGGAATTGAGAAGCTCTGTAAAACACCATCCTGTATGCGAATTGCCCCTGATGCAATGGCCGGTACCATTGTATTGATAAATATAGTCGTTTCTCTTCTTAGCAGTCCTTTATGAGTCTTGTTGAGTTATGAATTATGTAAGCATCCAAGCTGTCTCTTCATGATACCCGTCTTAGATAATGACATGACCGGTAACTAACTCCGGCCCATGTGCACATAGTATAGAATTATTCAGGCAGTGTTGGCTGTGCTGTACTCCCTGACAAGTTTAGGTTTCCAGAATCTACAAGTAGGAAGGGATGTTACCTAGCCCCACCCTTTGTCAGATTGGTTTTCTCCTTTCAGCATCCCCTAACATATAGCCATTAAACTTCCCCATGTAACCACCTCACCACCTGCCAATGCAATGAATGACAGAAAGCAGAAAGCTATTTATAATTTGTACTATTTGTTTGGCCACTTGACCTTATGGTCATTATATGAATTACTGTCACTCCAGGAGTAGAAATCTAGGCAGTTTAGATTCACCAAGCATTTTATTACATTTTGTGGTCATGGCCTCTGGCCACGTTTGTGAAATGTAATGAGTACTGTAGGTCTAGGGTGCCACTGAGTTAAAGCATTGGTGCTTAGAAGAAAGAATCACAGAATAAAGAAGCGTGAACCACAGTGAGAATGGGAAATGTCTTTTTTGCCTCAGAATGAAGGAAGCAGTAATCCTAACATAGTTTATTTACATTTGACCAAATGAGGAGGGCCTGGATGCTTTAGGACTCTGGATTATTTTTGTCACGTGACTTGAAGACCGATAGAACTGAGTACTCCCGGAAGAGCTGTATCTCATTGCCAAAGAGTGAGTCAAACAGGAGGGAGGTTCTCAGCCACAGCCAGTGCACCTGAGGTATTGAGCCAGGAAGCCTACTGCATTTGCACAGTGTCTATGCAGTACTGTGGGACTCAGAGCAGATGGTGACAAAACACCCACAGCCTAGTTGGAGAGATAAGTCCAAGGGAGTTATGATTAGCATCATGGCATGCAGAACTGAAATTATGTGGCACCCACCTTCATAATTCAGGGAAGAGAGAGTCCTTGCAGGCTGGCCTTGTGGAGGACAGGAATTGGGCCTTGATGCAAGCATGAACAGATTAGATTGAGATAAATTGACCTAGGGCATTTTGGGTGGCTTCCAGGAGCTATTTCCCCAGCCCGCTACAAAGGCATTGTTCTGCCCTGGCAGTTGAGCCGTCCGTTTATCCAGCTCATGCCCATTAGCAGATTGATTTTTAACTTTTTTTTTTTTTAATTGCCAGAGGGTATGTACTCTTGGCAGAGAATCAGAGACACAGAGAAGAGGGGAATAAAGGAAGAACGCATCCCCCCAGTCCGTGTGGTCACACCGTAGTCCCTTCTCTCTCATTGCTGTATGCTGTTAGGATTTCGGGTGTGCACACAAGCCCTGTGTGATTTTCAAGCTGCTGGGGCCAGGACTCCAACCTCATTTGGCTATGTAGGATCTGGCTTCTCTTAACCCAGGTTGCAGGGCCATCCCCAGAGCAGTGTTTCTGATTTTTGCTAGAGATCACATGCCCTAGCTGTAGAGAGACAGAGGAAGACAGGGAAGGTGAGGATGTATCTGACATGGGGGATGGCAACGCTGCAATCCCTTCTCTTCCATTTCTTCTTTCAGGATTTTGGGTATGTCCATGCGCACATACCCCGCATGTTTTTTTTTCCTTTTTTTTTTAGGCTTTTTGCCATAGGGCGTGTGCACTCACCAGCGAGAGACAGAACTGAGAGGCGGAGAGTGAGCAGTCATCCCCCAGGGGTGGATGGCCACCCTGCAGTCCTTTCTCCATTTTCCTCAGGATTTTGGGCATGTGCACACATGCACCCAGTGTGATTTTTAAACTTCTGGTACAGGCTCGAACTGTGATGGGAATCCAGTGCTTAGCTTCCTCCACTCCACCTGGTGGTCCTCCCAATGTGTTTCTTTTTTTTTTTTTTGGAGAAGTTTTTGCTATAGGGCGCGTGCGCTCACCAGACAGACAGAGACACAGAGACAGAAAGCGAGAAATCACCCCCTAGGGGGGATGGCCATGCCGCATTCCCTTCTCCATTTTCCTCTCGGGATCTTGGGCACGCACGCACACGCGCCTGGCATGAGTTTAAGCCACCGGGTCCGGGACTCGAACCGTGGTCGATGATGTGGGAATCCAGCGACATAGCCATTACGCTAACTGCTGGCCCCCCAATGTGTTTCTTAAGCTGCCAGTCAGGGACTTGAACTACCCAGTAGGCCATGTGGGATCATTCTCCCCAACCACTGTGCCATCAGCTGACTGCCAAAGTTTTTTTTTGTTTTGTTTCGTTTTGTTTTTTTTTAGAATTATTTATTTAATTTTATTTATTCATTCATTGATCTTAATTTGACCAGAGAGAGAGACAGAGAGAGGAAGCGAGGAAGCAAGCCACCAGGTCTGGGACTCGAACCATGATTGGCCATGTGGGAGTGTCCAGTGCCTTAACTACCATGCCACCTGTTGGTCCCAAGTTTGTTTTATTTATTTATTTATTTATTTATTTATTTATTTATTGGAGAGGTTTTCTCTATAGGGTGCGTGTGCTCGCCAGAAAGACAGAGAGAGACATAGAGATAGAAAGAGAGAAATCACCCCCCTGGGGGATGGCCACGCCACAATCCCTTGTCCTCCATTCTCCTCTTAGGATCTTGGACACACAAGCACACGCTCTCAGCGTGAGTTTAAGCCACCAGGTCTGGGACTCGAACCACGGTCAGCTCTATGGGAGTTCAGTGACATAGCGATTACACTAATTGCTGGTCCTCCAAGTTTTTGGGTTTTTTTAAGCACCCCCTCTCCCACTAGATGAGGGACTGTCACACTGGAATCTCTTCTCCATTTTTCTTATAGGATTTGGACACATGCACGCAGGGCTAGCATGCTTTTCTAGCAGCTGGATCCAGGACTCAAACCACGCTATTGGCCATGTGGGACCAGTTACTTAACCAACATGCCACCAGCCCACCATGCCACCAGTTGGCTCTAGAGTTTTGTTTTTTTCTTTCATGTTTTAGTTTGTTATAGGGCAGGTATGCTCACCAGAGAGAGGAGAGTGAGAAATTAACCCCCAAGGGGGAAGACCACATCGCAGTCCTTTCTCTTCCACTCTCCTTTTGGGATTTTGGGCACACACTCATATATGCCTGGTGTGATTTTCAAGCCTCTGAGTCTGGGACTTGAACTTGCAGCTAGTCATGTGAGATCAAGCCACCTTAACCTCCATGCTACCTGCTAGCCTGAATTTCTTTTTTTTTTTTTTTTTTGAGAGGTTTTTGCTAAAGGGCGCGTGTGCTCGCCAGACAGACAGAGAGAGACAGAGAGACAGAAAGTGAGAAATCACCCCCCCCCAGGGGGGATGGTCACGCCGCAATCCCTTCTCCTCCATTCTCCTCTTGGGATCTTGGGCACGCACACACACGCGCCCGGCATGAGTTTTAAGCCACCGGGTCCAGGACTTGAACCACGGTCTACTACATGGGAGTCCAGCAACATAGCCATTACGCTAACTACTAGTCCCTGCCTGAATTATTTTTTTTAAAGAAGTAATTTTACTGCTTTTTTCATGCTTCTTTTAACCTTCTGATTTTCGATAAATTAAAGCTCATTTAAGTAAAAGATCTAATTTCCTGGGGCCAGCAAGTGGCATGGTGGTTAAGGCTCTGGACTCCCACATGGCCGACTATCCTTCAAGTTCTGGATCTGTGGCTTGAAAATCACTCTGGATGTGTATGCATGGATGTGTGCCCAAAATCTCAGGAGGAGATTGGAGGAGAAGGGCTATCTCACCAGGGGTGATTTTTCACCTTCCTCTCTCTCTCTCTTTCTCTTTGATGAGTACACATGCCCCATGTCTAAAACCTCAAAAAAAAAAAAAAGATATAATTCCCAGGTTACAAATATCAAGTTTCTGTCATCTCCACCCTTATTTCACTTAATTATAGCAATAACCTGGCTATGAATTGCTTGAAACCTTTTCTGTGAGAAACATCCAACTAAGTAGTAATGAGTTGTTAATTTATTTTTAGGCTTTTACCTCCTGGTGTGTGTCATGTGTTATTTGGACAGGTTTAGGAAAATAAGTTGAATAGACTAGTAAGATTTTGTTTTGGGGAC